AAAGATAATAATAAAATAATAATAATAATAATAATAATAATAATAATAATAATAATAATTAATAATAATAACAATAACAATAACAATAACAATAATAATAAATAACGCAAACTAGGAAACTGAGATTAAAAATTAATCTCAAACAATCAAAAATAATGGGTGTGGATGCAATGTGTCCCATTTGACATCTCTTAATTTCCCTGGCCCCTGAATGTTGTGTGAACCCTCGAAAAATTCTGCTCAGCGCCTCCGAATGCCAGACGGTCGCTGATTTGCTTAGTCCTATTTGACTGTCGCTCTTACTCCCGTAGCCAACAGCTCTGAAAATGTTCAAAGAGCAACACGACTTACACAATAATAATAATTCAGCTAGAGAAGCAGGCCAGAGCCTCACCCCCGGCTGCATGGATGAGTGCTTCTGCTGCCCCCCTGCTGTGCCAATGTGGACCTTCAACAGCAACTCAGAAATTGGTGTGATTTGCCTGGGAAACCAGCAGTCGTCGACCAACTGGCCTTGACAAGATGAAGAGGCAATGTATAGAAGACGTTTAATGGGTCGAGGGGAAGGGGGGAAATATATGTATATATCCTAGCCAACCCAGGGAGAAGCATTCCTCGCTGAGCTCTTTAAGGGCTGAAAGGGAAAAAGGGGGAATGTAACTGAAAACACGTGGGGCTCCGTTTGCCCAGCATCAAGAACCATCTCTGCTTGGCCACGGGTATTTTCTTTTCCCTCCCCGGGGCTATTACACGAGATGGGCTTTCTCCAAACAGGGTGATTTTGCTGAATGCCAAGGAGTGGATTGCTGAAGGCGGGCCATGCTTTCTGCAGACGCGTGGAGTTGGATTTATGAGCGTCTAATAGCCTAAATTTCTTCCAGTGATCTTGAAATCATACCGCCGGGCGGCGGAACATTTATAAATAACTGAGCTAGGAGTTAAGATGATTTACTGGAGAGATCCCGTGGAAGCAATTCCCCACCTAAGCCGAACAATAATGAACCGGCGCTGCGCTTAGAAGGTGTCTTTACTACTGTCCGGGAAGACACTGGGAGAGTGGGGAGGCCTGGTTCTTTCTGTGCTTTCGGAGTATCATTGATTTTTCATTTTGTTGCGAAAATAATGGCAGTAGCGGTGGGCTGCCACGCGGACTGCCCCTCCCCCCTGGAAGATAGCAAGCCCTGGGCTCCTCAGAGTTATTTCTATTACCTAGCCTCCCGTCCCCCAGGCCCCTTGTGTTAGGAGCTGTACACGTGAATGGCCTTTGCCCGGCACAGCATCAACTCCCGGAGGAGTAGCGCACAGCTCCAAGGGGGAGAGAGAAAGAAAAGGGAGCCTCTAGAGAGCGACACACCTACCCAGGGAAGAACCTAGGGCAGGAAGGAACCCTCCCCATACGCTCAGGACCAGGTGGAGGGAGCTCTCCCCTAGGTCAAAAGGGGCAGGACGAGCCCGCTAGGCAATAAGAATAAAGTTACTTCCAAAATCACGAGGAACAATAGGCCAAAACCCTCCTTTCCTTGGCCTTCAGGCAGGGACGTACTTTCTCCACCCTCTCTTGGTACTCCTGGGGAGCAATAGGCCAGCAGCGCCTCTTGTGTGCACAGGATTCAGGATCGGGGCCGGAAGGGCCAGAAGGGGTCCACCCTGGCTCCTTTTTCATGTGGTCAGCCTCCCTTCGCTTTGGGGGAGGGGTTATGAGCCCTGTCACCGCAGGGCAGAGGGTAGGCCGGCCACTCCATCCCAGTCACAATTTGCTTTGCACCTTTCTTTAGCAGGCTCCCCGAAATCAAACCCTGGAAGTCAACAGAATAATGCCTCCAATAACTGTACAACCATCAAGAGACCCTCCAGCCCCTCTCCCCCTTGTTAGGTTTTTGTTCTATTGTTCGTCTCCCTAGACAAGACTGTCTTCGGTTTGAGACTGGACAGCCTGTGGAAGAGCCAGGTGTGTTTTGTAAAAAAGAGATGGCAGCCATGCCTAACAATATGGGTCTGGAGGATGTCAAGGAAGCCTGACAGGTCTGAACTATGATCTCTGTCTACTGTCAGGAAAACGCGGTGCAACTACATTTCAAAGGAAATGTCTCCGAGTTCCCCCTTTCCTGTGACACTCTTTACTCTTAAGCCTGAAAATACGAATTGAATATTTTCACTAACACAGCTTCCCCAATCGCTCCTTGCCATGGCTATGAAGTCACTGTGTATTTCCGCGGGGAGGGGGGCGCGAATTAATTTTAGTAGTTGTTATTATAATCCCCTGGTCATTTCAGATATAATGCCAGAGAAGAATATTACATCTATAGGCCACATTTTCTTCCCATCAACACCCACCCGGAGACATTTTATTTGGTACACGGATTCACTGATCTTTACAACGGGAAACTGAACTGTGGCAAGTGACCAGTTCCCATTTGTATGCAAATTCATGGCTTTCATTACTGGAATTGTATAGTTGGCCTCCAATGGGACATTTGCCCGAGTAAAGACTTCAGGGATCTTTCTTGTCCCCCTTTATTTTTGGCATCTCTGAATGAGGAGCTTTATCCAATTACACTGTGTCCCTGGATTTCAGCAACAGACATTCTTCCTGCAGGAAGAGATCTAAAGAAGAGATCTTTCCTAGCAATAGTGTTATTAATGCCTGTCTCCGGCACAACCGGACTCTACCACTGTTTCAAAAGGAAAGATGGTGGCCTCCATAGATCACATGCCACCCAGATGGTCTCAGATAAGTGAGCTGACTGGGCATACTGGCCTATCGAAATAAATGGAACAGGATATTTTGAATAATCGCTGCTTTGAATTATGTATTTGACTCTTACAGAACAGCGTGTATAGGAGAGACTCTCTTCACTTGTATTAGTATATGCCTATGTGGAAAATATTTTCGTCTGACTACGGCAGAAACAGTTTCTATTTAGCAGTTTCCAGGGTCACCCCTTTTTAAAAAAAATCAGTTTCTAGAACTGGATAACAATGGGTGTTTCAGACAGACGCTACAGAAAGGTATTTTTTTAAACCCTCATATGTGAAAAGTTTTAACAAATAAGAGAAGCGATTTACCAACCCTTCCTTCTGAAGACGTCAACGATATTATAGGGCAAAAAGCAACTATTTTTGTTTTAGTGGCCCGCATAAGCAAATTGTGGGATTGCAAAGTGTTTTCTACCTTAGCTGAATATGAAATGCTAAGGCACTCTGTTGAACAACGGGGAAAACGGTTCAAAGAAAAAATCTAATCTCTATACTTGAGAAATAACCGCTAAAATCCCCCACGGTGGCCCAGATACTAACTGGACTTTTTTGACGTACTAAATACAATTTTAATCCCTTTCCACATCCGCGTATGTAGGTTTCTTTCAGAATGATTGAGCGTGAGTGACTCGAGAATTCTTGAAAATGTCTAAACATTGTTTTAATTCAAAGACTGAGATACATAACTGTAATATTTTAACTACATTTTATAAAAACAATAACCATGAAATCCAATCATCAACTCTTGCTGCTAGTAGTGCCTTCCCAATGTGGCTGGAGCAGGCGGGGGAGGGGAGGAATCAAACGACAATACACTCTGTTTATTGATAATACCAAATAAATATCTATAGAAAAAGCTTTCTTCGGCGCAGAAGCATGGTGAAATGAGAAAGAATATCAGGTAATTGGAAAATTACCCAGTTATTTGATGGACTAATTTTTTCCTAAAGAGGAAATTCTTGACATGAGAATTCTGCCTGGATCTGTGAAATAATGTGAGGATCAAAGTGAGGGGTTTTATGATGATTATATTTTAAATTTGTAAATCAAGGAACAAGTGGGAGGAAGGGAGGGGAGAAGGCGAGCTTCTGGCATTCTTCACTTCAGATGTTTGAATGTTTCAAAGTTGCTGCTGTGCTGTTAGCTGACGGCTATTGTGTGTGTTTAAGACTGGGGGGGGGCGAATAGGGGGCTTTGACCCCCTGTTGGTGTGGATTTGCTGTCCAAAGACCGTTAGAAGCAGGCAGAATGAATTGAATTGAATGCGATTGTAATGCACAAGGCCCTCCTCCTTTCTCAAGGAGCTGTGAGGCCAGGAAAGCAGCCATGGGGAGAGCAAGCCGCTTTCTTACACGAGGGAAGATGCTTTGCAAATCAGTGAATTGTATATTTCGAGGGGGAGGTTAATTTTGTATTGTTGTTATTATTGTTATTATTCCAGATCTGAAAAAAATGCAGCAGCCAAGGCGACCAAAAAGAGAGGACACACTTGGTAGAGAAGTCTGAATTCCAAACCTCTTGTAAGTGTAATTACTTTCTAAGAATGCTCTAAGTTATTCACAGACTAGACAAATCTCTCCTGAAATCTCTTTCCTCTGCCGCTAGGTTGTTTGTGCCTAAACCAGAGGGCAGGGATTTATAATTCCCCCCTCTATTTCCTTTACTTTTTGAAACAGAGCAAGGCCTCGGTTTCTTTTTTGTTTTGTTTTGTTTTTTTTAAGATTGTTTTAATTGTGGTTCAGAGCAACCGATACCGGGCGTGGGGGTGGTGAGGTCGATGATTTTTAGGTTGCGGTCGATATCTGTGCCAAGTTCTGGTGGCAAAAGAGATGCATTCTAATCAGTAGAAGGGGTAAAGAGCGGGACTTTCTGAAAGCCACGCACTTCTCTGATCACTTGCCTCGCCTGATTCACTGCAGCGTCTTTGCCTGCATGCATTGTATGCATGTGTTTTATATATATATATATACACACACACACACACACACACACACACACATCTTGCTGCCTCGTTTAGGAAAGATCTTATGTCGTGAATGCCTACTGTGGATCTCGGGTATATTTTTAATATGATCAACTATGTATTGCTGAGTTCAGGTTTGGAAAGGGAAGGAAAGAGTAGCCTATTTCTTGTCTCTAGGATCTCTTTGTTCGGGAAACAGTAGGTGGTATGTTTAAAGAGGGAAAGAAAGGCAGAAAGAAAATGGCCCTTTGCAAGTCATCTGACTATTTTCTTCCGGAACATGCAGAAATGCTGCATTTAAGGAAGGGATGTTCTTAAAACAAAATGTCTAGATGGAAGTGCTGCTGAAAGAGCCCCAAACCCTACATATCTTTTAAAGCCTTTCCTAGAGGAGGAGGAAAGGGTGTGTGGGTGTGAGCCGATTTAATAGCAAACTTAAGAGGGGCTAAATCATTGGTGTGTCTTATTTTAATGAGGAGTAAAATCATGCCACCATCATGGCAAATGGGAAAGTTTTTCCCCTCTGCACATAGCTCAGTTACAACCGAAGTTCTCTTTGCCTGAGTAGATTAAAAATATCACATCCATGTTTCACTTTGGGGCCACCAGGCTTACAAATACTGAGTCGCTAGAAAGGCAGCACGAATATTAAACAGCATACTCGATGTGTGGATGCCTGACCGACTCCCCCACCCGAACAAATACAGGGATGGTCACTTCGCTTATTAAGGAAGTTTATTTTAAATCAATCTGTAAATATAGGGTTTCGCTTATCAGGATTTTAAGGAAATGACAAAAATGTCTAATCTATTCAGCACGAAAATTATTTTAAGTGCTCCTGACTGCACTATTCAAACACACCTGGGGTTAAATTAAATGTTTGAAACCGAATTTGCACTATTGGGGGTAAAAAGAAATACAGGCAGGGAGGGAGAGAGGGGAAGCACCGATTCTGAATACCAGAGAAGTGGCTGTGATGTGCAGAGGAAAATAAACAAACAAACTCCGTTTCATTCAACACCATGGACAGCGAACCTTTAGCCCCAAAGCAGCCACAGGATTACACATCACCTTTCTTTTCAGCACCTTTCCCATGCAGAACATGCTATGGACCTCCTTTAGGTACTCTGGTTCCTTATTAAAACGCAAGACAGGGAAGGGGAGAGAAAAGGAATCAATGTGGACCCCAAACCCATCATGCACAACAAAGGAGAATTGAGAAGGAGAATGCACAACAAAAATGGAAGACCGAGAATTTTATAATAGGATCATCACTGTTTTCCAGACTCATATAATACTAACTCTTTACCATTAGCTGCTCTGTACTAAGAACATGGGAAGGTGTAAGCATCTGAGACAGGTTTTCCTGGAATACCAGCTGGGAACTAAAGGGGCAGTTCCAGCTAAATAGAAATGTCATTTTTGTCTGTTAGTTGAAACCCAATACATAATGAAGATTGAGATCTTTAATATAGTCCAATAAAAACAAGCCTTGATCAGATGAAATAAATAATAATAATAATAATAATAATAATAATAATAATAATAATAATACTCCCCTCTTAGAAATGTAAATCCTGAATTTGGTTTTGAAACGAAAATGAATTCTGAATTTTGCTGAAATGGACATTGTATCGATGTCAAATACTGGAGAAAAGAGCTCCCTTTGTCACGTTAGTGTGTTTTTTAACTTAAATCCACCGGGTATGATTCGTGTTGATGTAGCTTTTCATGAACATAAATAAGTCGATAAATAATAAACTAAAATTAATCATGTGGAAAAGGTAGCTTCAGAAAAAGGGAAACGATGCTTAAATAGCAAAATTCCTCTGTCAGCGTAGCAACAAACAATGCATTTTCACCTAATATACATGCTATGCATTGTAGCATTATATAATAGAAAGGAAGTCACACACAGACACACACACAATATTAAGGTGTTCGAGTGTTTGTATTATGGACCTTGAAGGCGATATTTCACATAGCTACGCCTTTGATGGCAACTTGCTTATATACCTCTAGTAGATATTCTATTTTGTGAGATACTATTTTAAACTTCCTTGGGCCGATTTTTTTCAGCTGTGTCTCTGGTATGCTTTTCAGAGACCCCCTGTTTAATATATACAAACTATCAAAAATAACAACCCCCCAAACAATTGGTTTGATATAGCAAGCACAAAATGTATATATATGGACTGAATATCTAATAACACACCCATCATGTAATTGCTCTCCCAGAAATGGAAAGTGAATACTTTCAAGACTGGAATAGGATTGATTTCCATGATAATCAGAGTCCAACTCCCACATAAGCATGTAAAATAACTGTGCACATAGAAATACTACTACAATTAAATCAAATGACATCCTAGTCTTAAATCATTCTAGTAATAGAATGCAACGTTTTGCTTCTTACAAAAAGTTACAATAGCGGAAGATAACTCCCAAATCTGCACTTTCCACCTAAAAATCTTTACATGGGGGATGTAGAAGTTGTTTTCCATATTTTGTAAGCATCAGGTTAAAGTACAATAAGACGAATTAGAACAATTCTAAAATAGACTGTGTCTGATGTGTATGTAGAATTATTTAATAATAAGAACAATCTCCCCTGAGCTAAAGGACACTATGATTCTTAAAACAAATGACATGGCACTGGGAGTAAGCAAGTACAGCCTGAGGAAAGAGGTCTCTAGATATAATGCATTCATTCAAGACTTTAAAAAATAACAAAATAAACCTGTTAAAACCATGTAATGCAAATGTAGCATTGCAACACTATTTGCTGGGGATGGGTTGAAGAAGAGCCAGTGTATTCGGTGTAATAAATCAAGGCTATTTGGTGGCAGCAGGCATTCTATATGCATTGCTACATTGCCCCTCCTGATGGGCTTTTAAACACAATAATACTCTTTCGGGTTATTATTTAGAAATGATCTATAAGGAACCCTTTCCCTCCAAACTAAGTAATTCTTAACGCTTGTGACTTCCTGATTGTGTAAAAAAAAGCTTTATCTCAAGAAACAACTTTCACCTCCCATGTCAAATGGGAACCTTTTTATTTTAAAAGTGTGACTTTAAACATGTTTTTTTTCTTCCCTGAAGGGGGAAGAGAACAATTCCTTTACAATTTTCTCAAATCTGTTTTTTAAAAATTACATCCATGTTCCGCTTTAAGGAAAATTACTGCTGATGTCTTTTGAGGTAGGAAATATAACTGTGGAATATACAGTCCTCCTTCACCCCCTCCAGCCTCCGTTAAAAAAAACCGTAGCAGAAAATATAAAGCTTCTCTGATTAACAGTTTAGGTGCAGAACGTATGTACACTCCTAAAATGATTAGCTTCTCTAGCTCTGTAGGGCGGCCATACATTGCAGCTGCAAGTGCTCAAAGCTGAAACCATATTTTCCGAAAGTCCTCGCACCCAGCCTCAGCCTGAAAGGAAGGTGGGGGTGGGCGGGCAATAGAGTCTCTAGAATGTTACTCCTGTAGTTTCAAGGACATCTTGCTGATGAGGATTTGGTTAATGGAGGAGAACTTATGTCCTAGCGGTGACGTCATTGGGTCCCAATGTAATCCTCTTGTGCTGAACCCAATCAGCAGATGTGCTGAGAGCCTGGCCGGAGCGAAGAAGCGCTAATCCTTTAGACTGGATGAGATCAGCTGAAACAGCCAGGACTAGACCCAAAAACCCCTCTGCTAGGAAGATCAAGAGGAAAAGGGATAAATTGAGAGAGAGACGCCTCATAACCCCCTGGAAAGAGCTGGGGAGAAGAGCAGAGCAGGAGAATGGAGAGATGGGTGGTGCACCAATACAAGTTCATCTGGCTTTGTCGAGCCGCGCGGGAGCCTGGTTTTCACTCTGATGAGCTCTTTCTTCATTGTTCCAGGGGGAGGAAAAAAAGGTCTAAAATTCAAAAGATAATGAGAGACTGGGCGCCTTTCTTATTCATCTCTAGCCCGCATACACAAAACAAGCATGCTGAGCCGCGGGAGGGCGTCCGCACTGGATCTGAGAAAGGAAGCAGAGTTTATGCCGCCCAGCCACCGAAGGCTGCTTCTATTGGAATGGGTAAATCTGCTAAGAGCTAGTATTGCCGGGCTGTAATTATGGGGTTTAGGCGACAATGGTGAGATAACATCCCAGC